GGCTGTTTCCACGACCTCCCCTGCACCTCACCCCTTCACTTCCACCATCAGGTAAAACACAGGAGCTCAGTGCAATCTGGATTTCAGAGTCACAACAAATAATCTGTTAGCTAAGTACTGCATTCTTTGTTGTGAATCTGAAATTCAAACCTAACAGAGCCGGTGACCCTCCCCGTGTTCACAGACACTGCAGGGGGCCGGGCTGGGCTCTAAGGATCCATCCAGGTCTCTGGAAGCCATGGGAAGGGACCAGGGCTGGGCTGGTGGGAGGGTGGGTGGGTGGCTGCCTGTGGCCTGGAGTCCTGGGCCTGGCCAGGGGCAGTGTGCTGGCATCCTGGGGGCACGGCCCTCTCAACCCTGAGGCTTGCTCTGTCCTTACCTGTGGCTCCCACAAGACCCCACACAGGGAAGGGGCTGCGTACCCTGGGTGGGGCTGAAGTAAGCAGGCTTGACCCCCAGGCCAGGCCATGGGTCTTAAGCTACTCTGCTGGGCCTTAGTGTCCCCGCTGTACAGATGATGCAAACCAGGCAGCTGGGGTGGGGTGACAAGCGTGGGCGTCCCCGCGATACCCCCAGTGCCGAGCGTGACAGGTTCAGTGGGCTGGGCTGGGCAACCTGCCCACCCCAAGGCCACAGCAGAAACTGGAGGGGTTTCCTGGCTCTGGGAAAATACCAACCCACTGGTGCCCACTGATTTCTCGCAAGGAAAGATTTTTTCCTCTAAAGAATCAAAGGATTGCAAGACAGAACGAGACCGCCCAGGGGCCCCTTCTCGGGCACGCACAGCCCCGCCTCAGAGGCCTGTGGGTCCCCTCTGCTCTGTTTGGCCTTTTGCCCTTTCCGGAGAGGCGACACTCTGGCCTTGGTGGGGCCGAGCAGTAGAGCCGCCCCGGCAACGAGAAGATGAACATCAACGGCAGACAGAGCCCGGCGCATGCTCACCTGCACGCGTGTGCCTGCGTAACTACCTGTGTGTGTGTGAGCGTGTGTGCTTAGTTCTCCGTGTGTTTTCACTGCGGTCAAATACATCTAAAATTTGCCCTTTGCGCCATTTCAGTGCACAGCTCAGAGGCGTGCAGCCATCCCCGCCACCCACCTCCGGAACTTTCTCGTTTTCCCAAAGTGGAAGTCTACCCATCAAACGCTCAGTGCAGTGCAATTTCATCACGGCGCACACCGCCAGGCCCCTCGAGCTGCCCTTTCAGAGCTGCAGCCACCTCCCCACCCCAGGCTGGCCCCCCTCCCACCGTCTGAATGGAATCCGCAGGCAGCCCCGTGGAGCAGCCGCCTGCTGCCCCTGTCGCTGGGCGGTGCTCTCCACTCTATGGTCTTTGAACGTGTGCCCTGTCCGTAAACATGCTGGCATGTATCCCCACACACGTTCATGTATTCACCTGAACTACGACCTGCCCAGCACGTCTGTTATGCCTCCGGTGCCAGCACTGTCCCAGCCCTGCGACGCAGCCCAGAACAGGAACCTCGTGGCGGTAGGGGTTGATGCGCAAGGCCAGGCCAGGGGGCCATGCGCCTGACAGCGGCTGCGAGGTGCAGGGGGCAGGGCCCTTGTGGGTGGGGCTGCTTGATCAGGTGGCCCCCAGCTGGGGGGCATTCATAAGGTGTCTGAGGAAGGGCATTTGCATCACAGGGACTGGCAGCACAAAAGCCTGCTGTCCTGGAGGGTCCTTAGTGTAGCCAAGCAGCAGCTGGAGCAGAGGACAGAGGGAGGGGATGGGCAGCAGGGGAGGGCAGGCCAGGTCAGGCCTGGCGCTTTGCTGGAGGGAGAGGGTGGCCCAGATGGGGTGGAGGAAGGACCCGTGCATACAGGGATTATGGCACCTGGGCTGCTGTGCGGGGAGACGAAGGGGCCTGAGCAGAGTATTAAAATAGAGTGCTGACTGGGTTGAGGGGCACCCTCAAATTCACAAGCACTGGAAACTTGTAATGTGACCTTATCTGGAAATAGGGTCTTTGCCAATGAATTAGAGAGTAAAGCGGGAGGGAGAGGAGACCAGGGAGGAGACGGCCACCCCGCCCCGGGAGGCCCCGCCAGGCGCTGAGCCCACCGCCTGCATGGGAACAGAGGGCCAAGGGCACAGAGAAGAAATCTCAGGGAAAGGCTGGCAGCTGGAGCTTCTGGGAACACCGCCAGGCCCCTCGAGCTGCCCTTTCAGAGCTGCAGCCACCTCCCCACCCCAGGCTGGCCCCCCTCCCACCGTCTGAATGGAATCCGCAGGCAGCCCCGTGGAGCAGCCGCCTGCTGCCCCTGTCGCTGGGCGGTGCTCTCCACTCTATGGTCTTTGAACGTGTGCCCTGTCCGTAAACATGCTGGCATGTATCCCCACACACGTTCATGTATTCACCTGAACTACGACCTGCCCAGCACGTCTGTTATGCCTCCGGTGCCAGCACTGTCCCAGCCCTGCGACGCAGCCCAGAACAGGAACCTCGTGGCGGTAGGGGTTGATGCGCAAGGCCAGGCCAGGGGGCCATGCGCCTGACAGCGGCTGCGAGGTGCAGGGGGCAGGGCCCTTGTGGGTGGGGCTGCTTGATCAGGTGGCCCCCAGCTGGGGGGCATTCATAAGGTGTCTGAGGAAGGGCATTTGCATCACAGGGACTGGCAGCACAAAAGCCTGCTGTCCTGGAGGGTCCTTAGTGTAGCCAAGCAGCAGCTGGAGCAGAGGACAGAGGGAGGGGATGGGCAGCAGGGGAGGGCAGGCCAGGTCAGGCCTGGCGCTTTGCTGGAGGGAGAGGGTGGCCCAGATGGGGTGGAGGAAGGACCCGTGCATACAGGGATTATGGCACCTGGGCTGCTGTGCGGGGAGACGAAGGGGCCTGAGCAGAGTATTAAAATAGAGTGCTGACTGGGTTGAGGGGCACCCTCAAATTCACAAGCACTGGAAACTTGTAATGTGACCTTATCTGGAAATAGGGTCTTTGCCAATGAATTAGAGAGTAAAGCGGGAGGGAGAGGAGACCAGGGAGGAGACGGCCACCCCGCCCCGGGAGGCCCCGCCAGGCGCTGAGCCCACCGCCTGCATGGGAACAGAGGGCCAAGGGCACAGAGAAGAAATCTCAGGGAAAGGCTGGCAGCTGGAGCTTCTGGGAGATGAAACCAGTAGGGGAGGGACGATGCTGGGACAGAAACACCACGCAGAGGTAGAGAGAAAGCCAGGCAAGGAAACAACCCTGGGCTGTGCCAGCCCCAGAGAATGAGGGCCGCACGGAGATGGTCAAGCGCCTGGCCCTACAGCCCACGCCCCGCTGGGCTGACGCAGACCCAGGCCACCCGATGCGGCCGTGGGGAGGGCACAGGGAGGGTGACATGAGAAAGTGAAGTCCCTGTCCAGGGGCCAGAGGTCAACAGGTGGCGCCCCGGGCTGATCAAGGAAGCAAGAGTTGCTCAGACTTTGGAGCAGATCACTCAGTGGAACGGCCAGAAGAGGTGCGCCCGGCTGAGGCTGGGCCTGGGGAGCGGGACACGGCTCTTGCTCGGCATCCACCCACCCGTCAAATAGTCTTCAAACTGAAAGAAACCTAAATGCACCTGACATCAGCCACCATGCACTCGCTCATTCCACAAATACGTACTGGTGACCCCTTGGGGTCAGGTCCTGAGGCTGCTGGGGGCACAGTCGAGAACAGGACAGAGCCCCTGCCCTCTGGCGCATCCCTTCTGGGTCAGCCACGGGAGGCATCTTGAGCATCTCCCCTCTGAAGAGCACACGTGCTGGGCGCCAAGCAAGCAAGATGAAAGGCCATGGATAATTAATGCTGCTCTTCGCGGTGGCCTGAGAGAGAGCAAATACATGCAAAACCCATCTCTGGTTTCCAGAACACAAGGACCTCTGAAATTACAAGGCATTAAAATAAAGCTTCAGGTAAAGGACTCTTGTTCTAGTTGCAGATTTGACGTCAGATCAAAACGGAATTGCTCCTGAAAGCTCAGGCGCTGGCTTATTATTCGAGGTTTGCCCAACCCCCACGTGTGGAAAAGACACTGGTCTAAGTGCACCCAGCAGCCCAGCTGCCTCGGGACCCTGAGGCCAATCCCCAAAGGGCCCTGGGTCCCTTCTACACTCGTCCCTTAGGCCCTCAGGGACACATCAGATGCATCAGACTTTATTTGGGGGGAACAAAAGTTCCAGACCATTTTGCCGGATGAGCAGGCTAGGAGCAGCTGCAGTGTCCTCACGGGGCACCTGCAGTCAGGGGATGCTGGGGGCGCGGGCGCGGCTCCCATCGACACCTAGAAGCACAAACCTGAGCCACTGGCTACCCTGGGGGACGGCGCTGCCACGCCCCACCCGCAGTCCACAGTTAATAAACCGTTCGCGTGTACTAAGTGGGTCAGAAGCCACGCGTCCCTGGGTCGGATATGGGAGCATTCAGTCGTGAAGCTCGGCTCCCAAAGAGTACAGCACCGTCTGGGACAATAGGGCGGGTGTCACCCTCATTGCTTCCCTCAGACGGCGGCATCTGAGAAGAGGACCGCACCTGCTCCTTCACCACTGGGCGCCTGCAAATGCTTTCCCTCCCCTGGCCCTCACGCAGCAGACAGAGCATCCCCGCAAAACTGCGCTCGCGGGGCGTGTTGACAGCCGTGGAATCAAGGGCCCACCTCTGCGACAGCTGCCGCCACCCAACGGTCAGCAGGCATCACCGGCTCCCATCCACCGTGTGCACTTGGCAGCATTTGGCGACGTCAGGCAGAGTGTGGTCCCTGCTAATCTGGGGCCAATTAACACAGATGAGCCCATCGTAGCACGTCAGTCGCATGCAGGCGGGCGAGGGAAGCACCGGGAACAGACCAGCGGGTGCGTGAGCATCCGCAGCCCCAAGGGCCCAGGCCCAGGGCAGGGGTGCGCATTGGTGGGGAGCCCTGAGCTGGCGGGAAGGCCGCTGCACCGAGGCCTCCGATTCTTCGGGGCTCCTTCCTCACCTCCGGTCACAGTCAGCCTGCCCGGGCACTGCCCACGCCGCCTCCCGGCCTACCACCTCCACTACCACCGCAGAGGCTGGCGGCCCCGCTCCAGCTCCACGGCCACGTAGTCATCGTGCAGCTCCTTCAGATGCAGCAGCAGCCCCTCCAGGTTCTCACCGGTGGCCGCCGACAGGGCGATGGCCTCTCGGCCTAGGCGGGCCTGCAGCTGGGGCAGCTGGGCTCTGGCCTGAGGGAGGTCGACCTTGTTTGCCACGACGGCATGGGGTCTCTCGGACAGGCCTTCCCTGTACTGTTCTAGCTCGTACTTCAGGTCCTCCAGCTGCGTCCACGGCTCTGGCACCGAGAGGTCCAGCACGAACAGGAGGAAGGGGCAGCGCTCGATGTGCCTCAGGAAGGCCAAGCCCAGGCCCCGGTTCCGGTGGGCTCCGCGGACGATGCCCGGGATGTCGGCCACTGCGGAGGAGGAGCGCAGACGGTCCAGGAGGGAACCTGAGGCCTGAGCTCTGAGCCTGTCCTTCCAGGGAACACCTTGCAAGGGAAGTCGTTCAGTTTACTGCCTCCGTGATGCATCAGGCCAACTGCCATCTGAGGCATTTCAGCTTTCGGTTTTGCTAATGCTTTGAAACACCTGGCTGACAGGCGTGATGACAGATCAGTCGAATAAGAACTACTTAACACATTCCAGTCTCTCTGGCTTCAAAAATGATTCAAAAAAGGGGAAAACGGCTTCCTGTACTCTATTAATAATTTGATTACCGATAGAAACGATAGAGTCTTTTGCAAATATAAAGTGCTATACAAATCACATCGCCAGCAGGCTTACTATTTTTAATGGGTACATTATCTTCTGGGAAAAGTTTTCTTCTCTCAAAATGGTACAGGGAAAGCTTTTTAAATCACATGTTGTCCACATGACTGACGTTGCCGAGTTCCCCATAGATGAAAGAGAAGAATAGAGGCGGTGAAAAGGAATAATTTCCTCAGGTTTGAAATTTAAACTCCAATTCCTGCACTGCCACTAACAGATGCCTGGGGGAGAGGGTGGGAAGCAAACCTAAAACCTGATTCTGATGAAGAACTACAGTTTTTAAATGAAGAAAACAACGCTACACGCAAGAGTTACATAAGCACTGCTCTGAACCCCATCGTCACCCTGACTCTCTGAGAGGCCCTGGCGTCCTACCTGCTATTTGTTGGTGGTCCTCGCAGTGAACAACCCCCACATGCGGGTTCAGGGTGGTGAATGGGTAGGAGGCCACAGCGGGCCTTGCGTTGGAAATGGCCCGGAGAAGCGAGGATTTCCCTGCGTTGGGGAATCCGACCTGGAAGAGAGTGGGGACGGCCAAGGTCGGGGGTCTTGGGTCGGGAACCGGGGACGAGGGACAGCAGGGCTCCTGACGAAGCCAACAGGCTCTGATGGGCGCAAGTCAGCTGCCCGGCCACCACCCTCCTGGCATGTCCCCCACCATCCTCCCGCCAGGGCTTCAGGTGACACCCACCAGCCCAGCGTGTGCCACCGTTTTGAGCTCCAGGAAGAGGACCCGCTCCTGACCCAGCTGTCCGGGGGTACAAGTCGTGGGCGCTCGGTTGCTGTTGGCCAGGAAAAAGCGGTTGCCCTTCCCGCCTGCCCCGCCCAGCGCTGCGATGAACTCGTCACCCGGGTGCGAGAGGTCAGCCAGGACTTTGTTTCCCTCCTTCACCAAAGTGCCCACGGGGACCTGAAAAATAACAAGCGCTTATAGGGGCAGCATGAGAAGGGGGGCACAACTAAGCTCCACAAAGGGACAAAGGACCTGGGAAAGGGCCCAGCCCTTAAAGGGCTTGAGAGGCTGACTGCGCTGCAGGCAAACTGCATAAATGGCTTTTCCCAACAGCGTGTCTAAAGCATCAGGGTGAACAAAAGCATCTGGAAAACAAGAGTGATGCTGAGAGCACAAACTCTCCACTCACAAGGAGGTGCCCGAGAGGGTAGGTGGGGGCAGATCACGGGGCTGGAGACAGCGGGGGAGACCTGCAGTCCCCACGGGGCTGGAGACAGTGGGGGAGACCTGCGGGCCCCTCGCTGTAACTATAATCATCTCACGACTTTCTGAACAAGTGACACGTTCACACGGTATGAAATCAGCAGAGTCCCCGTCCAGGGTTGCTTCGTGGAGGATGGGGCCCCTCTGGACCACTTGGCAGGACCGGGGAGCCTGATGGTCCAGATGGCCTACCTGGATGTAGAGGACGGCGCCGCTTTGCCCAAAGCAGTTCTTCCTGCCGCCGGCTCCTCCGTCAAAGCCCTGGTACTGAGACAGGACTGAGGACAGGGACTTGACTTGCCGGTCAACTGGAAGTCAGAGCGAGAAGCGTCATCTCCCTCTGTGTCAAAGGCAGACCCATCTCATGTTGTTAAGTTTCTTTTGTTCAGATTCAGAACGTTAAGAATGCACCTGGGACGGGACTTCCCTGGTGGCACAGTGGTTAAGAATCCACCTGCCAATGCAGGGGACACAGTTTCGAGCCCTGGTCTGGGAAGATCCCACATGCCATGGAGCAACTAAGCCCGTGTGCCACAACTACTGAGCCTGCACTCTAGAGCCCCTAAGCCACAACTACTGAACCCATGTGCCACAACTACTGAAGCCCAGGCGCCTAGAGCCCATGCTCCGCAACAAGAGAAGCCACTGCAATGAGAAGCCTGCGCACCACAACAAAGAGTAGACCCCGCTCGCCACAACTAGAGAAAACCCACATGCAACCACAAGGACCCAACACAGCCAAAAATAAATAAATAAATAATAAAATAAAAATGAAAAAAAAAATCTAAAGAATGCACCTGGGACCATGGAATAAAGTTGTGGCAAAAGTCGCTAAACTAGCAATGTGATTTTTTTTTTTTTTTTTTTTTTTAGGTGGTACACGGGCCTCTCACTGTTGTGGCCTCTCCCGTTGCGGAGCACAGGCTCCGGACGCGCAGGCTCAGCGGCCATGGCTCACGGGGCTAGCCGTTCCGCGGCATGTGGGATCTTCCCGGACCGGGGCACAAACCCGTGTCCCCTGCATCGGCAGGCAGACTCTCAACCACTGCACCACCAGGGAAGCCCGCAATGTGATTTTCTGAAAAATTTAATTTCTTATTTTCTTTCAAAAAATACTACAATTTTCAAACAATTCAAAAATTACCCATAATGTCATCATCATCTTGAAAACGGCTGTACTTACTATGCTGTGAATGGTCACTGAGGGGACTAGTTTGCTAATATTTGTGCTCCATGTGTGTCAGAGCAATCAGTACCCTTTCAGCACTTGACTGAGATAGTAACAGATTAACCCTTTGACAGACTGTACCAGAATGTTAGATTCCCTGACAGTAAACTGTCTTTGTGTTCCTGAAATGTAAAAAACCAAAACCAGTTGGTTCTGGGTGGATTATCTAAATGTGAACATCCACATAATTTAATAAAATGATGTCCACAGGTCAGTTTTTGAATCCAGCTTCCTGTTAGGATAAGAAGGTGAAAACTCCCCACCCCGGAGGCGCGCAGACACAGCGCGTTTCCCCGGGCCGCCCCTCGGGACACCTGCCTCTCAGGATGACGTGGCCGCCGTTGCCTCCGTCGCCACCATCGGGGCCTCCAAACTCCTTCCGGGGCTCACTGTGAAAGCAGCTCACCCCGTCACCTCCGCGTCCCCCTCGGACAAGCACTCGGCGATGGTCCACAAAATGCCTTTTCTGCAGAGAGCACACAGTGGCCTGTCGTTATTAACTCTGCATCCTCCCAAGGAGCAAGCAGTCATTTGTAACGTACCTTTTCTACCCATGACAGGCTTTAAAATTAGAAGCTAATGATATTAATATTGCTAATCACGCCTAAGATGCAAATATAAGAGTGCCCACAAGTCACTGCTATTTGTAGGCAAATGTAAATCAACAACGCAGATGTAAAAAGTGCTCAGCATGGAATACACACCCGTCATGAACTCCATGCTAAAAACCTAAATAAAACGTAGTTTAGGAGATACTCCTTAAATAAAGCGTCTTCCCAGCTTTTTCAAATAGAAACACGTTATTGAAATAACAGGTCTTTAAAAAAAAAAAAAAAAGAAATAACAGGTCTTTACTAATGGAGAGTTCTGCTCCTCAGGATGAGAGTGACAGCCCCTGGGCCATTATCAGGCTTCCAACGAAGAACAGAAGTCTTCTGTGGCTGACTGAACAGGGCTCCTTTTTTAAATGTGGTGATGCAGACAGAGCCCTTATCTGAGAGCAAGTTTTTCTCTAGGTCCCTAAGGGAGACACAACCTACCTAAAGAATCAGAACTAACTAACCAGGTTAACATATATATATATATATATATATATATATATATATATATATATTTTTTAACATTTATTTATTCAGCTGCGCCGCATCTTAGTTGTGGCACACGGGATCTTCGTTGCGGCGTACGGGATCTTCGTTGCGGTGTGCGGGATCTAGTTCCCTGACCAGGGATCAAACCTGAGCCCCTGCATTGGGAGCGCACAGCTTTAACCCCTGGACCACCAGGGAAGTCCCCTAACCAGGTTAATATTTAATAAACGTTTGCTCACAGGACAAGATGTCCAGCTGCCCGAGGTGCCAGGGTGCACGCCGCATCTGTTGTGGCACACGGGATCTTCGTTGCGGCGTACGGGATCTTCGTTGCGGTGTGCGGGATCTAGTTCCCTGACCAGGGATCAAACCTGAGCCCCTGCATTGGGAGCGCACAGCTTTAACCCCTGGACCACCAGGGAAGTCCCCTAACCAGGTTAATATTTAATAAACGTTTGCTCACAGGACAAGATGTCCAGCTGCCCGAGGTGCCAGGGTGCAGTGTTGAGGACGCCACTCCCAGCCCAGCCGTCCTGTCCCGAGGAGCCCACCTGCTCCCCACACATGGGCGCAGGCTGACGTGGCCGCCCACACGGCCCCTCCATGGGGACCAGGGCATCTGCATTTCCATCCACTACTCCATAAGCAGATCTTTTTTTAAAGGAAAATACAGAAATACTTTATGATGCTCTGGCACCACCACATGGAAAAACCATGAATTACTGTTTCAAAAACGCAATGTACAATTTTGAACATAATGGAAATCAACCCCAATGGGAAAAAAGCACAACTAAGGAGCATCGTACAGAAGATAAAACTTAAGAGTCAATGTTTACATTCTGGGGAGGAGACAAAACCACGTGAAGACTCGATATATCTGAGTGCACACGCACACGCACACGCTGCGCACACACACACGCTGCGCACACGCACACGCTGCGCACACGCACACGCACACGCTGACATGGACGAACTAATGTTTCCACACGAAGCACTGTTTGCCCTAATGAGCCTTAACTGGACCCGCGCCTGGGAGGCAACAAAGTGGATTATAAACATGTGTGTTCTTGAATTTAATTAAAGATCATTCACGTTTTAAACAGGTTTTGGTAAACAGAATAAAAAATCATGAAAGCCTTGGAGAACTATAAAACTAAAGGTGTATGTCCCTGGTCCCCACCCCCCCACGCCATAAGTTAAGAACTATTCACACGTACCTAAGAATATATACAGTACATATCTCAGACACACAGGCTAATGATACATAAGCCCCAGGCACCCTCCTGGCGAAGGAAGCGAACACGGTCATCACTTCTGGCACGCTGGGCACTGCCCTGGGTCCACCGCAGTTTTAGGCCAGCCCAGTATTTGGTACCCGCAGGCCTTCATCTCACGTCCTCATTTCCAAGGATAAACGAAGACAAGACAACAAGAGCTCAAAACAAAACGCCCTGTGCCTTCAGAGGGGAAATGGCAGTCAAATTCCTTCAAGGTTAGAAGCCTCACCAGTTTTTTCTCTGAGAGCAGCTTCTTGCTGGGGGGTTCCTGGTGCTTGGTGCAGTCCGCACAGCTGACCGAGAGCAGCCTGGGAGAAGCGTGCTGGGGAAGGAGCCGCCTGGGCCTGGGAAACACTCGTGCCAATGGTGTCCAGCAACCCACGCCCTCCAACACCGGCCAGGATCTCGCTGAGAAAAGCCTCGAACGTATCATGGCTCCTTTAACAAAAGGCAAACTGGCAAAATAAGACATCTGGTTTAAACCTGAACATGAAACCGAAACTAAAGAAGTGTGAGCATCTGGCACAGGAGAATGCTGGTGCGTGTTTCTGAAACAAATAAATGAACCAATGAATGACTTTCTTACCTCACTCACCACTTTCCACCCGAGTCATGCCCTATTAGCCTATATGCTACTTGGAGGGAGTTCCCTGGCGGCCTAGCAGTTGGGACTCTGGGCTTTCACTGCCGGAGGTCCAGGTTCGATCCCTGGTCAGGGAACTGAGATCCCGCAAGCTGCACAGCGCAGCGAAAACAAGTCCCCTTAGCCTATATGCTACTTGGGGGAAAAATCTGTGTACAAAGGATTTAAATCATTAAATCTCTTGCAACTCTGGAATATACTCCCTATAGAATATCAAATACCTGCTAAATGAAAATATTAAAAAGGAAATCTCAGCCTCAAATCCAAATTTCTTAAAAACAAAAACACCCATTTACTCAGATGCTATGGTGTTATCCTGCACAGTTTAAAATGGTCCAACTGGAACACAGTGGGATATTTCCTATGGGTGCTGTGGGTAAGCTGCCAGACTCTGCACAAGGACCTCTGCCCCTTTCCCCCAGGGTGACCTAGGACTGTTCACTCATCTGACGACGGACCAGGCTGGGAGGGACAGGATGCAGGACAGCAGTACGTGGCCCATGTGAAAACTCAGTAAGCGTGAGCTACTTTTCATTAAGTAAGAGCTGTTTACACCACTGCTCGTTCATTAAACAGCTCGTGACAATTATATATCTTGCAGGTGCTGAGGGTCAACGCGAGGAGTCTCAGGCCCAGCCCTCCAGGAGACGACAGCCCCTCCCCCTCCACTGTTCTGAACATCACCCACTTCCAATGTCCCCGCTTCACAGGCACACGTGTGCCACATAAAAGGAAACCACTGAGGCTTTCCTCCCATTGTTAAGTACGAACTACACATACAAAAGGGATATAAACGTACACACATTATTTTAAAAATAATCATAAAGCCACCACGTGCGCAACGCAGCAGGCGAGGACGCAGGGCTCGCCTTTTCCATCGAAGCCCCTCCTGTACCTCCTGCTCCACACCTCCTGGCCCTTCTGAAAAGGAAATACTTCCTTGGTGGGAGCTATTCCCTCCGCATGGCACTGAAAAGCTTTGCTTTTTGTTCGGAAACAATCAGGTATAGAAAAGTTCAAAGGAGAGTCCGAGAATCACTTGAGGGTGAGTGGCCGACCTGACACCCAACCCCCGGGACACGGCAGTGTGGCTCCCTGTGGACAGAGGCACCCCCTACGGAACCGGGGGGATGGCCTTTGAAACCGGGCCACCAGCCACGCCCAGATCCCCAGCTTTGGCTAATGGTCCCTATAGCGTCTCCCACAGCAAAGGGTCCAGCAAGGAACCACGAGCTGCGTTTTGCTGTCACGTCTCTGCAGCCCCTCCCTGACTCTCGTGCCCCTGACACCTGGAAGGTCACAGGCCAGCTGTTCTGCACCATGTCCTCGTTTTCCCTCTGATGGACGTCCCTTTGTGACGAGACACGGGCAATGCACCTTTGGCAGGAATTTCACACGAGTCAGGGGCCTTGCTCACCCTGCACACGGAGCTCCAGCACAGGGGGGCCCTGCCCGCTTCCGGGCGTCCGGGCGCCCCTCCCTCCCTGTGTAGTTACGAGGACCTCGGGGGAGGTGGTCTGAGACTGTGCAAATCCCGTTCCTCATAAGCTGTCCATTTACTCATTTTTACGGGCTCAGTTTCCTATTTTATTCAGTTAGCTACACTATCATTTACTTCAATGCTCAGATTGTCTCTGGTTTGGGCAGCGGCAGCCCATCCCTTGGCTTTGGTGTCTTTCTGACACGTGCCCCTCAACCTGTGAGCGCTCCCTGCTTCCTGGCACAAAATGTTCCAGGCTCACCGGGTACTTTCCCTGGTTGACCCTGAAATCAGCCTTTACTCCAAGGAGCCCTGGTTCTTTTAGTGCAGAATGGTATTTAGAAGGCCACCTGTGTGCTGGGGGTGCTCAGGGGTCCTGGGGTGGTGCTGCTCGTGGGTCCTCTCCATGGACAGAGCAGACGAAGGTAAATGCATCCACGCACAACACTCACATCTGTAGTCACTGCTACACCGATCCACCCACAGTTTTGGAGCAGCATCTTTTGAAAACCATGGGTTCACACCTATAATCCCAATTCCAATTCAACACCACAAGGTTCTAATATTCTCCTTCTGTCTTTGCAAGTCCATCCTCTGACTGTCAGAGTCCCGGCTCCATTACCCTCAGTATGTTTACTCACCCAACCTCGACAGTAACCAAACCCTCACCTCCTGACGTAGGTGCTCTCCCCTTCCACTGGGCCGCCCCTCCATGGGGACACCCTCCTCCTGTTATCTTCCTGTTAATGTATTGTCCTAAATACACCTTTATTTCAGAATGATTTTAGATTTACAGAAAAGGTAATATTCCCATATACATCTTATCCAGTTTCCCCTAATATTAGCATCTCACATGACCAGGGTACACTTGTCAAAACTAAGAAACCAACCCTGCTATGTTATTAATTAAACTCAGGATGGCATTTGGATTTCACGTTTCCCCATGAATATCCTTTTTCTGTTCCAAGATCCCACACTGCATTAAGCCCTCTTAAAAGATATTTTTAAAGTGCTAAAAGAAAAAAAGTCCCACCCAGCATTATTACACAGCCCGTGAAACTATCCTTCAGGGAGGGAAGTGAAGTAAGACATGCTGGGTGGTGGGAGACACTGTCTCCACAAGCAGTACCCCAGAAAGAAAATGACACCACAGGGAAACCCCAACCTTTAGGAATGAGGAGACAGCAACAGAGATGGTAAGTATAAAAGACTATTTTGGGGGGACTTCCCTGGTGGCTCAGTGGTTAAGAATCCACCTGCCAGTGCAGGGGACACGGGTTCAATCCCTGGTCTAGGACAATCCCACATGCTGCAGAGCAACTAAGCCCGTGTGCCACAACTACTGAGCCCACGCACCACAACTACTGAAGCCCGCGCGCCTAGAGCCTGTGCTCCACACCAGAGAAGCCACGGCAATGAGAAGCCCACGCACCACAACGAAGAGTAGCCCCTGCTCGCCGCAACTAGAGAAAAGCCCGCGTGCAGCAACGAAGACCCAACGCAGCCAATAAATAAATAAATGAATAAAAGTACCTATCCTTTAAAAAAGAAAAAAGACTATTTTTTTCCTTGTAAGAGTTTTAAAATATGTATGACTATAGAAGGAAAATTATAACACTGTCCAGTGGGCTTCCCATGCACGCAGAGGTGATTGCAAGGTTTCCACATTTCTGTGAAGTGGCACAAGTCTTAAGTCTAAGCGGATCATGAAAGGTCAGGTATGTGCTTTGTAATCTCCAGAGCAACCACTAAAATGTATTTCAGAGATATATCCAAAGGCCAACAAGTAGATGAAATGGAATATATGCTAAAAGCCTTTCCGATAACGCAAAAGAAAGGGGACAAAGAGGAAACAAATAATAAAATAGTACCTAAACCTACCCATACACGTAACTCAGACAAAAGAGACTTCCAGAAAAAGAGCATTACCTAAGATGAACAAAGGCATCTGATAATGACAAATGGAATTAGTCATCAGGAAGGCCTAACAATTAAAAATGTGCGTGACAGGGCTCCCCTGGTGACGCAGTGGTTGAGAGTCCGCCTGCTGATGCGGGGGACGCAGGTTCGTGCCCCGGTCCGGGAGGATCCCACATGCCACAGAGCGGCTGGGCCCGTGAGCCATGGCCGCTGAGCCTGCGCGTCCGGAGCCTGTGCTCCACAACCGGGGAGGCCACAACAGTGAGAGGCCCGCGTACCGCAAAAAAATAAAAAATAAAAATAAAAAAGGAGAGGTAAAACTGCAGAAAATATGACTGTCTCCACAGCAAATTCCAGTGAAATCTATAAAACAAAGATTAGAATTAATATACAAAGAAGCAAGGTTTTTGTTTTTGTTTTGTTTTTTATAAATTTATTTATTTAATTAATTTACTTTTGGCCGCGTTGGGTCTCCGTTGCTGCGCACAGGCTTTCTCTAGCTGCGGCGGGCGGGCGGGGGCCCGCTCCTCGTTGCCGTGCGCCGGAAGAAGCAAGGCTATTGGTCACAAGGTTAATTTGCAAAAGTCAACTGTGTTCTTGTACACTGGCAGCAAACTATGAAATGAAATTAAGACAACAAATCCCATTTACGGTGACACCAATTACAAAGGCGTCTAGCTTAACAATAAGCTTAACAGTAAACATTTAAGACCTCTACGTCACTACCGGCAAGACACTGCTCTAAGTGTTTTCCAGGGATTAATGCATTTAGCTCTCATAACAGCCCTGTAAAGAAAGTACAGATGAGGACACAGAGGCAAAGAGAGGTGAAGTGACTTACCCAAGGTCATAGATCTCTCAGATGGGAGGAGTGGAGTGTGAAAGCAGGGTGTCAAGGGGCAAAAACAACCACCTGATCATCAAAGAAGCACACCCACAGCTAAGCCTGGTGGAGAGCTACGCCACGGCCGGGTTGAAAACCAAGCATCTGGGCTTGGTTCGGTAACACGAAACCTGAAAGCGATCAATCAGAGGTGTCGATTACAAAGCCAACCAGAGACCTGAACTATGAATCTTGCCTAATGTGGAGTACTCCTTTTTACCTTTTCAGTGTGTGTGGAAAACTCTGCTGGGCGCATGCCGTGGCTCTCCCTTGCCACGTGTACAAGTTCACTTTGGTTTCACATGACTATTTGGTCTTTGTTTTCCTTCTGATGCTTTACCTGCTCTGGCCAATAGCCCCATGTGGCTATTAAGTTTAAATTAACTAAAAAAATTTTAAACGTAAAAATTCAGTCCCTCAGTCACACAAGCCACATTTCAAGTGCTCACAGCCACATGTGGCCAGTGGGTACCACAATGGCCAGCACCCATTAGCACATTTCCACCA